TCAGTCTCGAATGTGTCTTTGTCAGCAGCGGGAAAATGGACTAATACAGACTAGTATCTAGAAACTCACAGATCTTATGAAGCTCTTCCCTCCAGAGATGTGGTTCTTTTCTCTGGAACTAGGACATAGGGAGAGTGTGAGTTATTCTAGGGCACGATCTGGGTCTTACTCACTTTGGAATCCCCAGTAACAGGCAGATAGGAAGCACTGGAGAGAGAGTTGTTGAAGGAATTACTGGATAATAATAGCTTATATTTCTCAGAGCATTCATAAGGTAGCAGGCACTATTCAAAGAACCTCACATGCTTCGATGCATGTCAACCTCACAATAAACCTATTATCTCAATTTTGCAGACTGGGAAAGTGAGACCCAGAGGTGTTTTGCAATGTGCCCGAAGGATCCCAGAGAACCCATGGTGGAGTTACAACTGTGCCTCAGGGAGCATTCTCAGGCAGCGTTCTCTTATGCTTCACTGGGTCACAGATGATTGGGTTTCATTCAAGGACTTTCAACAGCAGCTTGGAGGGAGAGCATTCTCAGTGGCTGGTAGATGCCATTTGAACTGAGCAGGACGATGAAGCCCGTTTCTGGAACAATTCTGCTTTCTCTATTCAACGCATTTTATAAATGTCTTTGCTCAGCAAATTGCCCCTACTCATTATATTTTGCTTCGTGACCATGGTATGTCACTTGCATTCCTTCAGCACACACTGACTGATGGGGAAGAGATGTTGGGTGACCCAGGCAAGCCAAACAGGAGCACAGCCTGCTGTCTCACCAGGTGGGTAATCCACCTTGAATGCTTGAGAGGGGAGTGTTGAGATCACGCCTCTTCCCATGGGACATTTTTCTGGGAAATAAAATCAGTGACAAACATGAAGCTTGAACACTCACGTGGACTCTAGGTGCATGCTGAGCTCATCTGGTGCAGAGGATTGATGCAGAGACGAGGCCTGGGCCAGTGACAGGCACAGGAAGGGGACGTAGGATGCACCACAGTCCGTGCCTCTTAGGAGAAAATCTGGACCCTCTTCATGGCTGTGATTCTATTGATTTGCTAAGACTGCCCAAACAAAGCACCACACAGGGGTGGCTGACGTAACAGGAATTTATTCTCCCTCGGTTCTGGAGACTGGTAGTCTGAGATCAAGGTGCTGGCACAGCTGGTTCCTTCTGTGGACTGTGTAGGAGAATCTATTTCAGGCCTCTCGCTGAACTTCTGGGGGTCAGTGGCCATATTTGGCATCCCTCGGCTTTTAGAAGCATCACCCCAACTTCTGCCTTCATCTGCACATGGTGTTCTCCCTGTGTGCATGCTTTTCTGTCCAAATGTTTCCTTTTTATAAGGATACCAGTCATATTGGAGGTCTACCCTACTCCCTTATGACCTCATCTTAATTATATCTGCAACAAACCTATTTCCAAATTAAGTCACATTCTGAGGTCCTGAGGATTAAGACTTCAACATATGAATTTTGAGAGGACACAATTCAACCCATAACAGAAATTTTCTCTCTCTCTCTTTCTCTCTCTCTCTCTCTCTCTCTCTCTCTCTCTCTCTCTCTCTCTCCCCCCCCCCCTCAACATGATAATGACCCTACGCAGGGATATTTCTAGGTGTCTACTGTCTGTGTGTGTGTGGTGGGGGGCTTCTAGTACTGTTTTGGATTAATGTTGACAGACAGCAACCTGGAGTGGGGAAGCAATTTGGAGCTGTGACTTAGAGCAAAGCAAGTAAGCTTCTCCAGGAATTTGAACCCAGAATTTCATCCCCATGGCAATTTAATCCAGTAATAGCTCAGATGACCCTGGCCTTATCAGCCTGGTGCTCTAAGCAGTTGACCTAACAGTGTGTGCATGCGTATATGCACATGCGTATGTTATGTGCGTATCTAAGTGTGTACACATAGTGCTGGACACAGAAATATCTCTGAGAACTGTCTCTTTATCACCCTTCAGATAAAATTATTCTCAGCTTGCTGAGTTGCAGTGTTTCCTAATTTGCATCTCCTAATGCTTTCACGTATTTCTCCCGAAGTGCATATGCAAAGAGCTTCAGCCTCAGTGTCAGCCTGGCCATTTTACCATGATTTCTAGGAAACAATGTGTATTATTGGTTCACGCCTTCCTTCTATCCAGATTACAATTCTCCGTTTTTGGGCATGACAACCTCTATCTGTCTTTTGAAAGCAAATGTCACCTATTTATTGAGGTCCCCCCAACTTTTTCAGGTTGACTTTCACTAGTACCTTTCTGGAGGTTTTTATATCTATGTTACGGCCCCATATGCTGTACTTTGGTGGTTTGTTTACCTGCCTATAAGACTGTCTGCTTAATTCATAGGCCTTGTGCAAAATGAAAATTCAGGGACTCTTGTTGAACTACTAAGAATTTCAAGATGGAGAGAGCAGAACCATAAAGTAAGTGCAGGGTCCTTGTGAGAGCGTGGTCCGTGAACTTCCACCCGCCTGGTTCATGTATTGTGACTATTCTCAGTTCCACAGTGCCCATCATTCAACAAACATTAGATGAATAAATGAATCAATATGTGAATGACTGTAAGAATAAGCTTTGATGAAAGGCAACCATTTTGTAAGAGAGCCATTACCACTTAATTGCCTGCAGAAACCCTCACAGAATCACTGAGGTGAGAGTAAAAAAAAAAAAAATGGCTGCATGCAATTATTTGTAAGAACAAATAATCGTACTTTGTATGCATGTAAGACTTTTCATGTCCAAAACATGTTCAAAACATTAATTCATCCTTACAACAGCATCAATGAAATTGAAACTAGAGGGAGAATTTGAGGTATGCAAAATTTAATTACCAATATTAAAATTTGCTGCATAACTCACACTCCTCCCACTGGGCCGGGAAACACATTCCAGGCTATCTCCTCTCCCTATGAAAAACAAGAAAAGAACATGGGAACGTAGTTCTATTATATCAGTCAGGAAGGAGGCAAAACTAACCGCCGAGAAACCCCAAGGGGTTGGGAGAGGTATTGACACATCTGAAGGAGGGTTGCATTTATTCACTTCTGAGTTCCCTTTAGATTCTGGGAACCCAGGTAAGCATCCTCATGACCACAGGGTCAGCTCGTTTTGAATAAAGATGTGGGGAATAAGGTTATAAGATAAAGCCCAGCCAGTTATTTCCCTCTACATCCAAGAAATGGTGGTGACTTCCTAGAATCCTGAGCCACATTCGGATACCCTGGTGGGGACTTTGTCTACATTATCAGAAGGTGGGGTGGGGTGTGGGTGTGGAAGAAAGCTTGGCCTTGTACAAAGACAGCCCAAACTGACTGGGCAACACGGATCTGCTTCCAGCACCCTTACCATTCAGAATTTTTGGATCCTCTAGGCTGGAGGTGTGGGGACAGGTATTAGTGCACCTTAGCAGGGGGAGGAGCCGCTTGTCTTCTCTGGAGCAGAGAGAGCATGGAGGACACATGGGTTCTGTGTCCCACCAGGCATGAGGCCATTGGGTGAAGGTTGTCCTGGTGTCCTCAGCCAAGGACTCCTGCCTCCTGAAGGGAACGAGAGCGTAACTCCACATTTCTCAAGTGGGGCTATGCATCGTGACTTCCTTCCAAAGGGAACAGTAAAAAGTTTGGGGAGATAAAAAGGTAACTTTCTGGAAGAGAGATCTAACAAATGCCACTTCAGCCAGGGGATCAAGGTCAACATCAAAGCACAAATGTTAGTTAGTTTCGTCTTCAGGCCGAGGCTTCTCCTCTGAAACACTTAGAGCTCTTTGGAAGGTACAAAATCTCTCTGGCACTAAAGTTTGGTTTAACAACCCACTGCAGACGGGGCCATCAAGCATCTCCCTGGCAAGCTTGTTTCCTTCTTCTCTGTGCACGAACACATCCATGGACAGCCTGATCTACCCCCATTCCCTACCTGTGCTCAGGAGCCATAGCTGAAGACTTCTAGGTCACATCCTTTCTTGCCCACCCCACTTTGGTTCCTTACATTTTTTTGTGGTCACCCTGCAGACCATTTAAGATCAGTGTTAAAGCAAAGTAAATATGGCCTAAGAAGGACTCTGCACTTCTATATTTGAGTGGATGAACTGCAACCTAGCTTAATGGTCAGAAAAAATTGGAAACCGAACTTAATAGTGTACACCTGTAACAACAGCTGAGGGTTGGCCAACCCCATGGGCCATAATTCAACCAATCATAGACTGCTGAATGTTCAAACGGTGTCCAAATAAGGCAAACATCGAGCTGTAACCACTGTCGCTATTTCTGTACCTCACTTCCGATACCTGTACGTCACTTTATCTTTTTGGTCTATAAATTTGTTCTGACCACAAGGCACCCCTGGAGACTCTGTGAATCTGCTGTGATCCTGGGGGCTGCCTGATTCACAACTTGTTCATTGTTCAGTTAAACTCCTTTAAACTGAATTTGGCTGAAGTTTTTCTTCTATCATCAGACATGAGGTCCCATGAGACAGCAGTGACAGAACTGGAAGAAACTTTAACAGTAATTCTTGGTGGGAAGACAACTTGAGTTGAACCCAGAGTCTCGAGACTGAAGTACTAAAGATATTTTGCACAGGGGTGGTGGTGAGAGAAGTGTTTCTTTTAAGAAACACTTCTCAAGCACTACCCGCCTGACTCCTGTAACTTAGGCAATGAAGGGCAGATGAAGACGCCTGACCTTCGGTTGAACATACGCTCTTTCCACTTCGTGTTTGCTAATCTCATGTAGCTCCTTTTAGTTTCTTTATTATGATGATTATTATTTTAAGACAAGCATTAAAACGTGCTTTGGTGCTCTTGCATATGCAAAGAGGCGACCCTGGGAGCCTGCGCCTTTTCCAGGCCCTGGTGTTCTTCAGAAGCCAGGGTGTGCTGGAGCACTGCGGGTGAGGGCACAGCTTCAGCCTGAGTCTGTTCCCTGGAGGTGTCTTCCTAGCGTGTGTAGTGGGTGTTATGTGGCTTCCCAGCCCTCCATCTCAGAGAAAGACAAAACGAACTGGATATGGTGTGTGTACTTGTCAGACTGTTTATTTGCCATTCACACTGATTATAACACTGGATTTACAGAAGAAACTGTGATACAAAGAGAGGAAGGCTCCGGCGGCTCCTGAGCAGCAGCAGTCCAGCTGCCCTGCACAGGCTGGGCAGGATGAATGCTCCCGGGAGCGGGGAGGCTGCCCACCTGACTGTGTACAGTGGAGTACCTGCTCTCCTGTGCTGTTTAGAAACACCTTGGAGAGGGGGTTTTGGGGTATTCTCTCATCTCATCTGGTTGAAGACACGAGCTTGACAGTTCCCCTTTAGGAAGCGTTCAATACGGTTGTACCAGGGAGAAAGAACCCCACACATGATTTTTCAGGAAGCTTTGAGACCAAACCCAATAACTGCCACACAAATAGACCCTAGATGGGGGCTTGTTTAAATAGGACTACATTTCCCGCTGCTTTTTCAATAGATGTGTTATACCGTCATTTCAATTTGAAAGTTTATTTTTCTCCATTGATGTTTATACATCCAGAATAACACAAATATCCAACAGTTCTTTTTCTTTTTTTGCGCATTCATTTCCCCTAGAACAAAAAGTGAACTTAAAAAAGAACTGGAACCATGCTATTAGTTGTTTACAAAAGTGAATAAGAAGTAGCTCATTTTAAAGTCTAAAATAAAGTAGAAAGAAGCATTTTTTCCCCCTACAGTATTCAGCAAATCTAAGAAAAAGTCCTTAGAAACACACACCAAAAAATGGAAAAAAGTTATAGGTATTAACAATATTTTATAATGAAGCTTAAAATCTATTTACATACATAAATACAATTAACTTTGTTGATGCAACTCTTCTGGAAGGAACAAAATAAAAAGCCAAACGATCAGCTTTATCAATACTGACCTGGCTAGAAACAAAAATCCCCAACAAATAAACAAATATCCCAAAATGAATGTATATGCTAAAGTAAACAAAAAGGCATTTTGTTCAGATGTAAAAAAATGTTTCGTGAGATTATTGTCAAACAAATTTTCATGTATAAAAGACCCAAACGTGTCATCCTCCCTGCCCCCCGCCCCACCGCAAAATAAAAACCAACAAAAATAAAAATCACCAGGACGGAATGTCCCAAGGAAACAGGTATTTCAAGGCAGAAATCTGCAATCCTAAATTGCAGGACATTTGAGTGAAACCATTCATTTCCTTTCTAATCAGAGCATTTCTGTTTATCTGCACAGAAACCCAAGGCAGCAGAAAGGCTGTTTACTCACTGATTGTGATTTGCCCAGGAAAGTTTTCGTTAGTGCATTTGGACTGCAAGCAGATCCAATATGGTTGGCAATGTCTCTGTTCTGCTGGAAGAAACCCATAGCTAGGAGAAAGTCTGACTCACCATGTTCCTTTATGTGAAGGGGGAAGAACTAGACCTGCTTGTGTTCTGCAATTTGGTACTGGGTGGGGGGCATGTGCTATCTCCTTAAGAGAACACAGGAAAATGAGGAGGGAGAAAGGAGTTTGGAAGATAGAGGAAGAAAGAAAAAGAGGGAGATATTGGGGGGAAGAGAGAAAGGAAAATGTATTTATAGCTAGTGAGAAAAACAGAAAGGACTGACATACGTGTCCATGTTGAAATCATAAATAGGGACATGAGTAAGCAGTAGAAATGGCTTACTCCATACTTCTCCTGGCCCAGTGGTTCCCAGATACATGCAGTTATCACATGATTGGCATAAGGGTCTCATTGCTTCCTTAACTTTCCTGAAGGCAATGAATAAAAAGATACCTTAATCTACCTGAAGTCAATGAATGCAATTTTTCACACACACATACAAAAATGTGTTGCGTGAGACCTATTTCCAAAACAACTAAGGTTTGATTTTTTTTCTGAAACAATTAATTACTACATATGCTGGTAAGAGTCTGTGAAACTCTAAATGACCAAACCAGTGGGTCCACAATAGTGACAAGCCCTCTCCACACATGACTTTGAGAGTAAAGCTTCAATGTGAGAAATTATCTAATTCCCCTTGCAGAGCATGAGGCTGATTTTGAATTGGGATATCTTCAGGTAGCAGAATTAAACTGAAAAATATAATTTTTTTACTTCATTTTCCTCCAGCATTTTTGCAGGTCAGACATAGCAACATGTGCTGAAAAGAACACTTAACGTTCAATTTGGGGGAAACAGGCTAATGGTCCTTTTCAGAAATTAAATTTTTTGCATTTGCTGAAATCTGATGGTAATTTAGCTGCAAAAATGTAAAATGGAATAACATATGAAACTGAGTTGTGGAGGGAATTCTGTCTAAAATGAAAGCGAATATATTCTGAGTTTTTCTGAGATCTGCTATAGCTCTTCTCCAGATAAGAACGACTTGACAACATAAGCTGCTTTACCCTTTAACTCTTACCAAAGTGCTTCTGCATGTGTGTAAAACAAATAATCAATATATATATAAGAAACCTCAAAAACAAGTTGTTTTAAATAAGTCCAGCTGTTTTTGCTGCCTGCAGCCAAAGATTTGTTTAATTTGAATGCTTAAATTTATAAAATAAAAATCAAACACTGTTCTGAAGTCCTGCTTTCAAATACTCTTCAGAGTTGACCTGAAGTCATTTCAATGAATTTTAAGAGGTACGTTAAATAACCACCAGATCATTTGGAGCACACATATGTCAGAATCAGCGGTTAGTATTTATGAGTTGTACAACAACTGCATTCTGACCAAATCCTACAATAAAAATAGTTCCATAAAATTTACAGTGACATTGGATACCTTTGAATTGTAGCCACCGAAAGCAGTGACATGAATCTTTCCTGTCACACTGGTGCACAGGTAAAAGTCCACACACCCCATAGGGTAGGGCCTCAGCACGGTGAAAGCAACACAAAGATGTTGTGAGCAGCACAGGACGGGGTGGGGGTGGCAGGGGTCTGGCATAGGTGGGACCATATTTTCCCATTTGACTCCACTGAGGCACACAGAGGGAAATTGGCTCCTTGAAGCCTGCTTCTGGTGGGCCCTTAAATTGCTGCAATCATAGCCCCTAAATTCATTGATTTGGTTCCTATGTAAATGTGGCTCCCCTACACAGTTTACTTTGGATGTGTTCTGTTACACAGCATCTGTAAAATTATCAGATGACCATGGGGTGAGCAAATCTCTGGGCAGAAATTGAATCCTCTCCAAAGGTATAATTATTGGCATCTGCCTCAACCCTCTGGAACTAGATTGACCTTCTCTGTTTGTAAGGAGGAAGTTAGATATGAGACCCTTTGTTGAGCCTGGGAGACAATTCCATACTTCTGATCCTTGGAGCAACCCTCAGTGTCTAAAAATCCTATTAAAAACATTGCTGCGTGAACTACCCACTTGTTTGATGAACATGAAAGGGAGTTTAATGTAAACAATACTTCTAGATAACCAAGTGATCACATTACTCATTCTTTTTTTTTTAGCCTTCTTCAATGTGATACATTTAACTTTGGCTACTATCAAGAACAACAAAAAAAATGTAGTACTTGATATTTTTCTTAATATAAGTACATTTAAATAATTAAAAAAGTATCAACACATAAGTAAATGTCTGAACATCAAGATACATAAATATCTGGGGATTCCTTGTGGGAATACAGTAGTTAAAAATGACCCAAAGCTGTAGCTGTTTCTCAAAAAAAAAAAAAAAAAAAAAAAAAAACAACTACCCAAAAGTCCAAAAGAAAAGTTAAATAAAACTTACAGAAAAGGGAATCATATTTCTTTCCATGGTCAAAGCGAGAAAGAAGCAAGCTCAATTTATATATATTTATATATACGTATATAAAAATAAAAACCACCCAAATGCAAATACGCATTTTGCAATTGATAAGGTGCGGAAAAATTAAAAATAAGAATTAGATGCCAAACAGGGCAAGTTGCATCCCCCCTCTCCCCCCACCCCAACCAAAATTCCACACTCTTTGGAATAAACAACTTGGTTAAAAATTTAAGTCAAGGGTATAAAATCTTTCTTTTTATTCACAGCATTGCTAAATCAGAAGCATTCACAGTTTCCCTCCGGGAATCTTCCTGTTTGCTTTGCGGCGCGTCCCCTGGGTGCTGGGGCCGGTGGACACTCCCGCGAGGGCCTGGGCGCAGGCGGACGGCGGCGGCTGCGCGCGCCCGACCGACCGCGACACCGCGGCCGCGGCGGGCTCGTGGAGAACAGGAGGCCCGGCCCGGAGGAGGCGGCGGCGCCCGCGGGGCCTCAGTAGGGCCTCCACACGGCCTCCTCCAGGCGCGCGGCGGGCGCCATGTTGGTGGGGGAGTTGCTGTGGCTGCCCTCGGCCTCCACCACGTCGCTCTGGTTCGGGAGGCTGGGGTTGAGCAGCGCCGAGCCGGTGGAGGCGTTGGTGCAGGGCGGCAGGATGCGCGGCGGCGAGCGCTCGCCGCCCACCATGGAGAACTGGTAGGAGCCGGCCGACGCGCCGTAGTACAGGTGGTAGGAGGGCGAGCTGGCCTGGAACGGGCCGCCCTGCGCCTGCGAGGAGCCCGGGTAGGGCGGCGGCAGGTAGGTGTGGTAGCGTGTGGCCGAACTCATGGCCGACATGCCGATGCCGATGCCCGAGGTGACCGGCGTCGGGGAGTAGGTGAAGGCACCCGGGTAGTGCATGCGGGGGTCAGAGATGGAGGGCAGCGCGGGGAACTGGCGCGGGTCGCTGAAGGCAGTCAGGTCGGGCGCCGCTGCAGGGCGGGCAAGAAAACGGAGCGGGAGTGAGTGGGGGGGCTGCTGAGGCCACGGCTCTTCCCTCTGCCCCAGGGGTCCACCCAGGATGCTACCCAGGAGGATGGGAAGCCACCCAGGATGCTACTGCTCTGGAGGACGGGGACCACCCAGGATGCCACCCCCTGAGAGGATGAGGACCGCCCAGGATGCTGTGCCTAGGAGGACGGGGACCACCCAGGATGCCAGCTCCTGAGAGGATGAGGACCACCCAGGATGCTACTGCTCTGGAGGACGGGGACCACCCAGGATGCCACCTCCTGAGAGGATGAGGACCGCCCAGGATGCTGTGCCTAGGAGGACGGGGACCACCCAGGATGCCAGCTCCTGAGAGGATGAGGACCACCCAGGATGCTGTGCCTAGGAGGACGGGGACCACCCAGGATGCCACCTCTTAAGAGGACAGAAACCACCCAGGATGCTACTATCTGGGAGGATGGGGAGCCTCCAGGATGCCATCTCCCAAGAAGATGGGGACCACTCAGGATGCCACCACCCGGGAGGACAGGGACCACCCAGATGCCACCTCCGAGAGAAGGGGGACCACCCAGGATGCTACCACCTAGGAGGACACGGTACACCTAGGATGCTACTGTTCAAGGAGATAGATTTCTACCCAGAATCTACAGCCCAGGAAGATGGGAACCACACAGGAGGCTACCACCTGGGAGGATGGGGGCCATCCAGAATGCTACTGCCCAGAGAGATGGGTTTCTACCCCAAATCTGTCACCCAAAATGTTGAGGGACCATCCAGGAAGCTACTGCCCAGGAGGATGGTATAATGTACAGTAATATAATACAGTAATATAGAATATCATGTAATGTAATATGGCATATGATATGTGAAATGATCTCGTATAGCATAATGTAATATGTATAGTATAGATATAATATGCAGTAGTATATACTATAATATGTATAACATGTATAAAATGTTGATATAATCCCAGAGTTGGCAAACTGCAGCCTGCCAGCCAATCTGGCTGCCACCAATTTTTGCATATCCCAGGAGGTGAGAATGCATTTTACTTTTTTTAAATGGTTGAAAAAAAATCCAAAAAGAATACTTCCTGACCTGTTAAAATTATAGGAAATTCAAACTTCAGTGTCTATCCATACTTTGGAACACATCCTCACTCAGTTCTTTCATGTACTGCACATGGCTGCTTTAGAACCACCACTGTGAAGTCAAGTGGTCAGTATAGAGACTGCAGGGACCGCAAAACCTAAAATATTATTATTATTATTATTATTAATTTATTTTTTGAGACAGAGTCTCAATCGTCGCTAACGTTGGAATGCAGTCACGTGATCTCAGCTCACTGCACCTACCACCTCCTGGGCTCAAGCAATTCTCCTGCCTCAGCCTCCTGAGTATCTGGGATTACAGGCACCTGCCACCATGCCTGGCAATTTTTGTATTTTTAGTAGAGATGGGGTTTTACCACGTTGGCCAGGCTGGTCTCGAACTCCTGACCTCAAGTGATCCACCTGCCTCAGCCTTCCAAAGTGCTGGGATTATAGGTGTGAACCACCATGCCCGGCCCTAAAATATTTATTCTCTGGCCCTTTACAGAAAAAAGTTTGTTGACCTTCTGTTTAATCAATATATTAATATGCCAATAATAATATAATCTAATTTGTGATATTAATATAACAAGTGATAATTTGACACTGTGTAATAATTACTAATGTAATGGATAAATATGTCACTACTAACTCAATATGTTATACATAATATATGTCCTAACAACATTAATATGTAATAATACATTACACATTATATTTAGGTTGAATCATAGAAAATTGCCATTTTTGTAGGCTTCCGACAGTTGAAATATTGATAACTTCCCAGTATTTAAGTGAATGCATGGCTCAGTAATGACTGTTGAGTGAATGTCAGGGACTATCATTACCACTCCTCCCTCTCCATATCTACCTTCAGACTACTTCCACAATTTTAGAAACAGTACAGACTTGAGTTCACCTGGTATTCCCTATTATGTGCCTCACTGGTTTGGCAACACAAGTAGATGTAGGACCTTGACTTATCTACTCTATTTTTTGCATATGTGGAAATTGTACCAGAAATGGCAAAGCTTTGTCTCTAAAACTCACTTTGTTACGACTATGTATTATTTTGTTAGGATTATACATTTACATTTTCACCAGCTGGCTTTAGGGCTTTCCCATGGTTCACTGGCTCTGCATTTTTCTTACCTATAGGCCACCCTTGGGAACTACAGAGGATCTGTGTGCTAGGCAGGGTTCCCTGTGTCTGTAGATGACAGTTTCTCAACTGTGGCACTATAGATATTTTGGGCCAGATCATGATTTGTTGGGGCAGAGGGGGGCTGTCTTGTTCATCATAGAATGTTTGGCAGCATCTCTGCTTTACCCAGTAGATGCTAGTAGCATCCCCCTCCCCTCTTGTGACAACCCAGAATGTCTTCAGACATTGCCAGATATCCTGAGGGTAGGGTAAGGGGAGCAAAGTCACCCCAGCTGAGAACCACCACTGCAGATGCAGGAGGGCACCCTGGAGTAGTTCAGGCTCCTCAGAATTATTCATTAAATGAGCAGGCTAGGACTCTCCTCTTTACATCAGCAAATCCACAGACAGCAACAAACGGTAGAAACGGAATTAATTGTTTTAAAATGTGAAGTTCTCAAATCAACACAAAAAAATAAATCTTAAGCTCAGATGGCAAGTGGCCTGTGTCCTTTTGAGTTCAGGCTGATAGAGAAAGTTGATGGAGCCAAAAGCTTGCTCTGAAAGGAAAGCTACTAGGGTGGATTAATCTGTTTTTGGAAGGCATCGGCAGTTGATCAACTTCCTCATATTTCAAGCCTATTATTCCAGCAGGAAGAGCTAGTGTGTTCTCTCTCTCCCTCTCCCTCTCTCTCTCACACTCTCTTCCACGCCCCATCCTCCCTCACTCTGATGGTCTTTTATTGCCGTCACTCATTTTTAAAAAATGAGCTCCCTTGTACCTCTCGGGTGAATGTGATGAGGGGATACACTCCTCATCAGAGAGGTAATTAAAGTTTATAGAAACAGCCCAAGTCTGTAGCAGATCCCTTCACTAATGAGGAAACCAGGAGTCTGACTTTCAAACAAACACTCCTGTTAATCTTTTCAAAGTCAGGCAGACATGTGGGCAGGGAAAAAGTTGTAAACGGACAGTGGTTCTGAGGCTGCCCTTCCTTGGCCACACACTAGTCATTCTTGAGCCAGGCCACACCTCATTCCACAGAGTTCATCCCTGCCCGCTCACTGGGGCAATCTGTGAGCAGGCCCTGTGTCACTTGCTTTTGCTGACACGGAGAGCTGTGACATGTTTGAGAGTTCACAGGAAGCTTTACTCCATTTTTTCCAGTTAGATTTGTAGAGTCTACAGAGAAGCTGGGACAAGAGGAAACGCATTACGCAAATACAGTCAGTTTGTTGTCATCTGATGCAATACTCTGGACACAAATAAATGGCTCTGCCCATTATTCTTCTTGCTTCATTTGCCCTGAGACAAAAAGGTGAATCCACTGGAAAATGAAAGGTCACTCTGTTTTACAGCAATGTCTGGACATGCTCTGCCAATAGGTTCCAACTACCACATGGTAATGTGGTGATGGTAGCAAGTTCCTGGAATCTGGAGTGAGTCTGTGATTTGTCATGGACATAAGAACTGGAATGGTGTTACAGTGTCAGCTGCTGTGGGAAAATAGTTCTTTCACTTGTGGACAGACCATCCAAAAACAAGAGCAGAAATGTTCTTATGGTCTTCCTTCTATGTACACATGAACGATGTGATGCTACGAAAGACCATCCATTTGGTCAAATTAACTTTTTTAGACATATTTTGATAATAAAATACCCTCTGCCCTCTAGATATGCTCAGATTCAAATGCTCTATTCGAATGTTGGCTTTCATCTTTTATGTCTTGTCTCAGCTTCCTTATTCAGACCCATCAGTCTGTACAATTCACCCATCCAGTCATAGCTCTTCTGTCCTTTTGACTGGCCTGGTGTCCCCTGATTCAGCAGCAGTGTGGGTGGAGTTGGAGACTCCTAATATTCACAGGAAGTTTTTAAGAGTCGGAAACCTGGGGCTTTGGAGGTCCAGGTATTTTGGTTGGAAATGTTTTCCCATTGATGGGGCTAAATATTTGCCATGACAGATCAAGTCTTCGCTCTCCAGCTTGACATGGAATGAAAGCAGCCTCGCTCCAGACCCCTCCCACTGCCCCCAGAGGATTAAACAACCTGAGCAGGTAATGGCTGCCTTAAAAGGAGCTTTCGCATGACTCAGATTAATGCATGCTGTCTGTCGCTCAGGTTGGCAGCTAAACATTAATTTAAAAAAAAAAAAAAGAGAAAAAAGGGAACTTCTAGATGACAACTCTTTTCAGACAAGGTGTGGAATCTGTCTGCAAAGGGTAGAGAGAGAGACAGAGTCCAAGTCCCCAGCGCAGAAGGAAGCCCAGGTGGGGCAGGGGGTGGGGAGAGGGGCAGAGCACAAAGCTGTCGGGCCAGATTAAAAGGCAAAGCAGCCACAGAGCAGTGTCAGGTTCTCAAAGCTGTCGGCCAGGCAGCCACTTTCCTTTTATGTATTCCACCCCCCTCCTGCCTCCAGGTTTATGACAACACTTTTCAGGCCTGTGCTCCAGGCTTGATTTCTCAGAGGGAGTTCTGCCAAATTGAAGAGCAGTCTCCCATACTGTTCTCTGCCACTGAGAGCTCATCTGGAATTCTGTCCTTCCTTCAAGATTCTTCTTGGGTTCTGAAATGGGACATGGTTTTAATCTACTTCACACTCCCATGCCATAAAATGTTCTTCCTTACTCCTTGGGTGATTGAAGTTCAGGGTATTCACAAGTGTAACTGTGATATGGGACTTGGGAGTGCACATGTTGCTGATTCCTTTTATTAAAAAAGTCACCCTTCCATCTGAACACCAGTCAGCTGGAGGAGTTGGCCCTGAAGGTTCTTGGACTATAAAGTGCTGATCTTGGGTGATGACAAAGTCAAAAGACTTATGTAATAAATTCCAAAGGATAGACCCACAGCAGGAACATTTCCAAGGAGAACAGGCATCATTTCAGGTGAAGACCCTAGCTAGTGGGCAGAGGGGTGCCACTGAGAAGAATCAGTAAAAGCTGACAAGTGCCTTTGTTCTTGAGGGATAAGCTTCTAGAAACTACAAGCTAAACAAGATGCCATGACACCTGTGCTCCTCTCTCAGCGCTTTAGACCAGCACGTACTATGAAAATATTGGCATTAATGGCCAAAAGGAATGTGAAAACCGAGCACCTGAGTTGGCTTCCCTATTTTACTATAGCACCCAAGAATACTGAGAGGCAGTGGTTCTCACCTGGGGGCAGTTTTTCCCCCTGGGACATTTGGAAATGTCTGGAGACATTTTTCATTGTCCCAACTGGGGTGAAGGGGATGCTACTGGCATCCAGAGGCCAAGGATGCTGCTAAATATTCTCCAGTGCACAGGACAGACTCCCCAAAGAATTATTTGGCCCCAAATGTCAACAGTAGTGCTGTTGTGAATCTCTGGGAAGGCATTCTGTGAAGCTCTAAGAAGCAGCTAAGGCATCTGGTGAAACCTGAAGTAATCACAACTGTCTGGAAAACACAGTATTACACAACATTTAACATGGCAGACATGACTCCACTGCCCCTGTGCCTGCCCCCCTAATCTGCTATAATCTGATCCCAAGAGCCGAAAAGCAGGACTCACCCCCTCCCCCCAACACACATGCAAGTGTGTTTGCAGGCATCATAACACTGAGGTTCTCTGAAGTATTTTCACAGTTTGATGCGGCTCCAATTTCAAAGCCCCAAACACTCAGTTTCTTCTTTTGCCTTCAACAAAGGAATTTTTCTCTGTAACTCTGATTTCCCTGCCCATGAGCAAAGGTGAGTGCCAAGCCCAAAGGGCCCACAGGTTAAATGACTAATACTTAATGAGCTCATATTAACAACAATTATGCTAACCATGACACCTGAGCTTTTCACTCTGTTCCTCTAGCCTCTGTATGAACAGCACTTAGTTGGAAATGTCTCATTTGGGGTATACAGTTGGTTCTCTGTATCAGTGGGTTCTGCATCTGTTCAACCAATTATAGATCAAAAACATTATTTAAAAAAAGGATGGGTGTGTCTGTATTAGACATATACAGACTTTTTTTCTTGTCATTATTCCCTAAACAATACGGTCTGACAAGTATTTACATAGCATTTACATTGTATTCGGTATTACAAGTAATCTAGAGATGATTTAAATATATGGGAGGATATATATGTTATATATAAATATTATACAATTTTATATGAGGCACTTAAACATCCATGGATTTTGGTATCCATGGAGAGGAAGGCGGGATCCTGGGATCAATCCTCCATGGATACTGAGGGATGGCTGTATTTACTTCCCATTCTACATGTGCCCACGTCTGCTGTCTATGTGGTCTGTGAAGATTTACCACCACCACATGGACCAGTCCCAGCAGTCCAGAGTTCAGTTGGAAGAATGAGTCCTAAAAGGTGACTACTTTGGCTTTTTATATTGTTCTTAACCCTTCAGTCACCATCCTTTTTTGCCAGATGTGAACAACTTTAGAATGCCTAAGGAATCAACTTCTCCCAGCCACTTCTGCCTTCACATCCACAATCTCTGCCTCTAAGTGTGCAAGAAAATCAGTTCATGAGCATGGGACTCAGAGTAGAGATAGGTCACCTTGTGTTTAAACCATATTTTACTCATTTAATAATGTTCTGCCAACCCCTTCCTACACCTCTAGTCTCCTGGACCTTCCACCCCAGCTCAGCTGCAAAGAGTATGTTTTCCAAGTGGCTTACTTGAGAGTCGACTGGAAAGTTCTGCAGAGAGGGTTGTCATGCCGCTGGCACGTCCAGGTGAAATGGGCGTTGCTGGGTGCACAGAAGGAGAGGCAATGGATCCCAGGTACTGGTAGGACTGATCGTAGGACCACGGTGGAGATGGCTGGATCTGCCTTGTGTCTGAAGAGAATCAGAAAGGTCAATTAAACATTAAGTGGGGTGAGATTTAAAAAACAAAATGTCTTTTAATAAGAAATGAGTAGCCTTTGTTTAAATACGTCACACACATGTATGTGGCTTATGTGCCAGGGTTTAATAAGCCCACTCAAGTCCAAGTATCTGCCTCTGTTGGATTATTTCCCCACAAAAGAGACGGAATCCTTGGAGACTGTCACCTGATAACTATTCCTACCAAAGGTTTTATTTAATCATGCTAACAATGATGAGAGAACTGGATTACGCTTTCAAGGTAGAAATGTTAATGTCCAGACTGTTGAACTGCAGCACATGACAACTTCAAGTACCATATGGCTGCTGAGACGATTTCAGCTTTACCAACAATGACAATTATCATCATCGGAAACATTTTATAAACTTAGGAGATCACCTCACTGTATTCAGTAAGAATACAGAGTTTTTGGGGTTTGTTTTTGTACCTTTAGTAATGCTGGTAAATGTTTTATATTTAGATGAATTCTCTCCCAAGGATGTCAGGAAAGAAGGTCTGGCTGGAAAACTGGCAATGATGTCTAATGACTAGTTCACAAACCCAGCAGTAGAACTGGCCTTATCAACCCAGGCCTTCTGTTCCTTTTCAGGACTTCAAGTTTGCAACTTTTAAAAGTCAGTTTTTGAGCAGATATTTTATAGATTGCCATTATAAGCGGCCTGGGATAGAGAGGAGACGAAAGTCTGACTTCAAAAGATTTAGACAAAATGGATTTTCTAAATTTGACTCCAGCATTCAAAGGAGTCTTAATTTTCAAAAGCATCATACTGTTTGCAGATGAAAAGGAAAACCAGCTCTATTCTTAGGCAAATGTGTAAGGAAATTTAAATTGGACAGTGTCCCACTAGAAGACAGTTTTACATTTCTTTGGAGTTAAACATTAATTTTCTCTTTATGTCCCACCTTCTTGTGGACAAAGATAACTGTGAACTACCAGAACTCCCACGGGTCTTTACCAGAGCTTCATGATCCTGCAAGTAGTGGTGCAGGAAGAGCAGACTTCTTTAGGAAAATACAGGGTATAAGTTTTGTATAGGTCATGACATAAAGAAATGAGCCATTCCTACTCATTATAAAATATTCAGATCTGCTTTCTCCAGGGGCTTTTCATTTCCAGCAGTTCAAGTTTGCCTTTCTGTTTATCTCTTTGAAGCTGCCACAGTGGATAACAGAATCAGACATTTGGAGACCAAGTCTTCCTCCCCAGTACTTCTGCTGACAGCTTCCCTCCCTCCCTCATACTGATTCATTTCTTTCTTTTCTGTGTGTGCATGAAAATAACGGATTTTTTAAGTTTAAAAAACCAGGTAGTTCCTGGGCAAATGTTTTAACTTAGAATCTTTGAAATCTAATATTAAAGAAAGGTCTTCATTGTATTCCAAATTTTAGAGGATTTAAAGAGGTGGTAAGAACAAAAGAGCCAGTCCATTTCAAACTCGGCAGAAAATAAATGTTCAACCTTGGCTGAAGCTCCTGTGTGACCTTACAGCTAACAGTGTTTCCAATAACTAAAGGCAAACAGAAATAGCAGACTGTTCAATAGTCCCATGCTACTCCAAGTATTTTGCTCCAAGTGAAAACCCATATACTTAGATATTTTCTGTAAGACGTGTATATTCTAGATACACACATTTACTAAATGAATATATAGTACTCCAATAGTTTAATCATTTAAAAAGCAAACAAAAGAGGTTTTAGAATTGTCATAAAGCCCCCCAGGGTGTGAATTGTGGTACACTAATTCATGCCTTATTGTGTAGACAGCCTCACACCTCTAACCTCACGTCTAAAGCCACACTAAGCATAAAGTATTATGCCATGATTCATGCTCTGTCATGTTTTACTGTAGTGAAAAAGTTGTGCTAGGCTTTTCTAAACTCATAATTAAACCATGCAAATGTTGCATAATATTTCACAGCCTTTAAAAAAAAGGCTTTGGTAAAATGATCTTTATGATTGAAGTCCCAGTTCTGTGAGTTTTTTTTTTTTTTTTTTTTTTTTAAAGACAGGCTTGCAGATTCCACATTTTCTGACTTCATACCATAACTTAGCTTTTCAGGTGTTGGAGTGGGTGGGGGCCGGCGGTAAACACCCCAAAGCCCACCTGCCCCCTATCAGTTTTCTTTCATGCAACCACAGTGACCTGTGCTTGGGTTCATTGCCAGTGGTGGGCCAGAAGGTGGGGATGGTGAGCCTCTGATGTTGGGGTTTCCGTTCCTTCTTCTACAGGTCTTATTAATAGAAAACCAAAACAAAAAGGCCTGATAATATGGTGCATTCTCGGTTTAATATCCATTACTGTCTTTGGTCTGATGGGGCCAACTTGAACTCATGGGCCACTTGAGCACTGGATTAATAGGCAAGAGGGGTGGGCTCTGGGTCTGTGTGGTGAGCGACTGGGTGACCTTGAATTACTCACTTGCATGTTCTTATTCTCACCTCTGAAGGGAGAGGATCCCTGTATCCTTTCCAATGGTGACAGAGCAGGATTCCAATTCCAATAGGTCCTACCCAATATTTCTTTGCTTTACTTGTACATTAAGCGGAGTGAGGGAAGAATCAGATACGGGGTGAAGAGCGGTGCCTGTAATAATAAATATGTGTATTCTAGGGGGAGGAAGTAGAGGGCAGTGAGATGGGAGTTATCCAGGAAAGGCTACAGGCCGAGGAAGAGAACCACTGTCAGTCATTCTCCAGAGCACAGGGCTACTTGTTCTTGAAAGAGTTGCCTCTGATAAGTCAATCTGTCAAAGAACAAAAGCTTACTGATCATTTACTATGTGCCAGGAATGTGCTAATTTACCTGGTAGCAGAGTGTTGGTGATGAATAAGACCAATATGGTCCCTGCCCCACTGGCACTTACAGTCAGTGAGGATCTCAGGACCTTGTGATACTTGGAAAGGCATCTTCCTATTGCATTAATCATCATACTAGGTGTTGCTTCATTCATTCATTTATTCATTCATATGTTCATGAAGTTACTTTTTCATTCACTCATATTTCCAGCAAACATTTTTTCTTCACTAGGGCCACTGTCTTGGGGACTCACTAGTGTACGGAAAGTTCCTGCCTTCTAGGAGTTACAGTTACTGGGGCGCCTAAGGGCTGTATCTGGGCTAACTGCTAGATTAGCTGCCTAATTTGGACTTGTAAACAGCTGTTCCCAAGGTAGAAACAAGAACCCTAGTGGTGTTTATTACATGCTTATGTTCTGCCTCTGAGAGGAGGAGACTAGGGAAAGCACCGAACTTAAATCACAGACACAGTTCAGTTTGCATCCCGCCTTCACCATAAAACAACTGGATGACCTTAGGCAGGTCACTGATTTTCTCTGAATCATAGTTATAACTGTGACTTCAAAGGGTAATAGGAATAAGTGAGATAAGCTATATGGAAAGCAAGTATCAAAATTTCTGGCCATAGTAAATGCTCAATAAGTCTGAGTAATGTTTATGATTATATTATTAAAAAGGAAGAGAAATCCATGCCAAGGGACCTATCTGATGTTCATTGTTAAGACCACACACATTTGCTCCAGGAGAAGGCTCAAATAATAGTTTTTTGTTCACAGCTGGAGTCTTGACAGACACACTCTTCAGGCTAGAGAGGAGCTGGGCTCAGGAGATTAAATGATAAAGGGGCAAGGAAATTGCAAATTTGGGATTAGGTTGGAGGAGGCAGGAATTCAGTATCTCAACCAATTCATGTTCCCATTAAAAAATACTAGATTCAAAAATTGAAATTTGAGCCTCTGCATACTGGTTTTCCAGGCTAAATAGTGTTTAATGCAGCCACTTTACTGAGACCATTTTGTGATCGGTTATTTTCAGCGTTTTAATAATCAAATAATGGGTAAAACAAGGCCCCCTTTCCAAATTCTTGATCCCTATTCCCTTCCATCTGAAATGGGAAGTTAGGGATAAGGTAGAGTTGAGGTTAGTGGTGAGCTCAGGGGTGTACATGGCATATATCACACGAGAAGAAAGGAGAGTGCTTTTATCTTTTGATGCAGCAATATTAAAATGTCTCTAGAGTCAACAATGACCCTACTAAATAATTCATGTCAAAATGTCCTGCTGCTTCCAGTTTCAGTTCCAAAATGTAAAGAGCTTGAGAGTCATCACTCTTGTTTTTATAAGAAAAAATGCTGAACAAACTAAAAAATCCATGACTTTTCTTAAGTCCCCTGGAAAGCTGAAGTTGCAGGGCAAACTGCCACCCCAAAATTTTGAGGCCAATACAGAGAATCACAGTGAGGACTGCTTGCTGGGAGCAGAAGTTCTGAATTCATAAACTGATAGGAACACTTAATGGTGATTTTGACAAACTGCTAGAGGGTGAGTAGAGACTAGTGTGGGAATAAAACACTCCTGGGGGCTGCAGTTTCAGAAGGAAGTGCACTGTTGTGGGCTTTTCATTCAGGAACTCCACCAGATTCTCACAGGATTCAGCATGTTATAATAACAGTGGGTTATGGCTGAAAGAGCTTCAGCGTATTGACTATTGAAGGAGGAGTTCGTAGAGAAGCTCACAGATGACATGGGAGACATAAACAAAGACACTAGAGGAATTTGAAATCTCTGGTACCTTCTGCAGACATTAACTACAGCCCAGCTCTTAGCTACATGAAAATAATAACTCACACAAAGGTGTGTTTGCTTCAGTTCCTATTACCTGATAAATCATGTCCAGCTTTCAATGAAAAACTACAAGAAGGCAAGAAAAAACACAGACAAAGCAAGCATCCGAACCAGACTCAGATGTGACACAGATTTTGGAATTACCAAATAGGGAATTTAATGATGATTAACATGATAAGGGCTCTCATGGAAAAAGAAGACAACATGCAAGAACAGAAGGGTAATATAGGCAGGGAGATGGAAACTCTTAATACTCAAAAGGCAATTCTAAAAACTAAAAACACCAGGACAGAAATGAGGAATGGCTTAC